CTTGTTACACACAATTAAACTTATAGCTTGCTTATTCGCAACTCGCTGCTCTGCTCACTTTACTTGTAGCTTGCTGACTTGCAACTGACTCCACTCCGCTGTGTCGTGGCTCTTATATACCTGCGCTCACACTTATGGCAGCTCTAGAACGTTCTGAAGTTTATCGCTCATTCTCTTTTTCTCGCTGTTCGCAGTGTTCATCCAACTTAACGTTTCTCTTTGTGGAACATTCTACGTCATTCCTCGAACATTCTGCCTATTTCTCGTTGTTCGCTTTGTGTTGCCGCAGTATTCGCCACACTGCCCTCCACCTAAGTCTGATCGTCCCGATCAGACACACTTGCCACTCCAACTGCTGCAAGTCTTTCCAAGTGGACCACTCTCATCTTGGTCCTCGGTCTCCCCATTGTCTGGATTTGATGCACTGCGTCCTTCAGCCGTTTGTCAATCGTATACAGTATCGGTCATATCTATAGCACGCCATTTCAAAGTGATATTGTGTGCCACTTATGTTTATTTATTTATTTTTAAGAATTTTCAATTAAAATACAGTTCTTTCTCTAACAAACCCCATATAAATCCAAGTTTAACAATTTGTAGAAAACTTCAAAAAAGTGCAACAAATTTTCACCTAAGTTTCAAACTTTTTTCTCGGAAGTGTTAGATTTTTTTCGAGTACACAGTTTTTTAGCCCCTGCAATTTTAGTCTGATAATGTGCAAATTTCAAGTAGGTATGAAGTACCGTTAATTTTTTAGAATTTTTTTTGTCGCATTGGCTTCCATATAATGAATAAACTCAATTTATTTGTACTAGTGTTCGCCCAGCGGTTGAAATTCAACCGATAAAATTAAGGATAGTTTATGTAAGTTGAGAGAGCTAAAATAATATTAGTTGGAATGGGTTAAGTGGAGGGGAGTTTAGCTTAGTACTTGGCATAACATAACATAACCATAACATGAGAATAAATAACATAACATATGAAGCATAACACACCACAATATAACATCGCACACTCTTCAGTTGTATTTCCTTTTTATCCCTTTTTTCACCTCTATCTAAATCTTATTTATTTTGGTTCATTTTATGCCAAATGATGTTGCCTTTGATGCCACATCAAGTGATATCATGTCATGTGGTGAAATTGGGTGTGGTGAGCTGCGGTGTGGTGGAATTGGGTGTAGGAGTTACGGTGTGGTGAATTTAGGTGTGGTGGATTCAGGTGTGGTGAGTTAAGTTATGGTGAGAAAGTTGAGGTATGGTGAATTTTGGTGTGGTGAGTTGAGGAGAGTTAAGGTGTGGTGAGAAAGTTGAGGTGTGGTGAATTAAGGGTGGTGGATTTAGGAGTGGTGGATTTAGGTGCGGGGGTTAAGGTGTGGCGAGTTGAGGTGTGGTGAATTTAGGTGTGGGGAGTTAAAGTGTGGTGAATTAATGTGTGGTGAGCTCAGGTGGCGTAAGTTTTTAAGTTAAGATGAGTTAAAGTTTATCCTTATCTCCATCTTCATCTTCATCTTCATCTTCATCTTCATCTTCATCTTCATCT